TCTTCGTCTCATATCCTCTCTTTTCATTTTTTACCTTACGTTCTCCACCTTTTTAAGTTCTTTCAGCCTATTTGGCCCTAGTTCATGCACTATATTACTCAGTATAGTACTCACATACCAGTGGTGTGCCATGCTAGCTGTGTTTTATGGATGGCACTGACGGCCTGACACTTGTCTAGACCAAAATATCTCAAATCACTGATTGCCATGGAAGTTTGTTCAGACATTCAGGGTCCCCAGAGGATGAAGCCTACTGACGTTAGGGACTTTTTCTCTCCCATACCATTTTGTTCTTCTGTGATCTCTAGCGCCATCATCTGGTCAAATGTTTAATGTGTCCAATACTTCAATTTGTGATTGTGCATGCTAACACGCTAAACTAATATGATGAACATGGTAAACATTATAACGTTGGCTGAAAGAATCATTGTGTACAGCCTCACAAAGCAGCATGGCTGTCATGTTTTGTTGCTGTCCTATTAAAAAATATATAAAAGCCAACTTGACATACATGAGGACAAGCTAATAATTGTGCAAAATAGATGTTTTGATTTACAAACAATCTACAAAGACATGGCTCTGATGGAATAAGTGCTGTGTGACTGTAATGGGTAAATCGAACTGTTATTGTTGAGAAATTGGTCTTGGAATTGTAGCAACAGCGGCAGACAACAACATATATTATACAAGGGTATCAACATCATGATCAAGCATCTGCTGACTACTTTAGCCGAGCCTCTCTGTGTTCCTAAAGGACCTGAGGTATTGTATTCAATTTAGCGGCTGTGGAAACCTGAGCTGTGTCCTCCAGGTCATAGGGTGTCCAGTCTCTGTTGACTGTGAGCTGGGATGGGTGAAATATTCGCTGTGTTGTTGGGTCACCCTCCTCCTCCTCTTTCTCCTTCTGTTCTCCCAAATGTTTTGTGAATAGGTGATCCATTAACAGAAATGGACTAGTGAAATAAGTGTTGATGGTATCGCGAGCAGGGTCCTCCAAGCCTCTCCATTTCCCCAGTCTTTTCTCTCTCTTTCAGGGACAGTCTATTTCTTTGTCTGTGTGTGTTTTGTTTGTTCTGTACTGTTTCTCTTTATTGTGTGTTTCATTGTGAATAGGACTGCATTAGTCCGAAGTCTATGCGTTTCTCCATTTATCCAACTAATATATGATAGTAGTATGGAAGTACATCAAACATTTCCAGATCTTGGGGATCACACCACCACCTGTATTCTTACTGTTTCCAAATAACTGTTGTTGGCACAAATGACAGATATTATGAATCTCAAGTCAGAATTGTTACTGATTGGCTAAAGGGGCACTGCATCATTTATGTGTGATATGTTTGCTTTATTGTTTCCTTTTTTTCTGTTTTTGATTGTCTCCTGTTGTCTGTCGGTCCTTTTTCATCCTCTCTCCCCTTTGTAAACCACTGTCTTCTCTCTACTTAGAGCATGCTATGAATCGCTTGGCGCAGTGCCATCGCAATCCATTCACTACAGCTCAGTGAGATCACACAATCGCTACTATATCCCAGAGTGCACCCGGTCCTTTCCAGCAGCTCCCATTTGTACAGTAAAATGGCAAAATGGCCACTTCACAGACCCCCCCGTCTTTACCACGTTATGTCCTCATGAGACACTGACAGTTGTGTGAGTTGTGTGTGACCGTGCATGCGTCTGTGCGTGAGCACGTATCTTAGCAAGTGAATATGTGTCTATACGTGTGTGTGCCGCACATGGCCACAAATCTAGGGCATGTCCAAGTTTCTGGTGCAAATGTGTGTGTGTGTGTGTGTGTGGATATCAAGTGTTTTATTCCCAGATGAAATAGCCACTACTTGAAATATGTGATATGCTTACCTTGCCTACTCTTTTAAAGGATAGTAGGTCATGCTGGTCCCTGGTTCTGAAAATGTTCCACTGTCTTTTCTAGGTTGGACATATGTTTTATTTCATCTTATTACATAATTCATTCAACACAGGTTAAGATGTCTAAACCTTTCCAAAAGGAAATTAGTGTTTTCCTGCTTTTTTTTCTTTGTTTTGCATGTTCCTTGTCACACCTCTTCTCCCGTTTTGTGAGGCGTAATGGCTTCCATATCCAATGATCCCCTCCGCCAAGTGAAACCATTGGCAGTGAGCTGGGAAATGGCTGCTAATGTTTTAATGACTTAATGAGACCTAATTAGTTGAAATGGGAGAGAGGAAGAGAGGAGCCATAGAGGTGATCAGTGTGTGTTGGTGCACAAGATTGTGAGCGTGTTTCGGTCTTTTTTACGTGTGCCTGTATGTGTCTGTGTCTGTATGGGGTTTGGATGTGTGTGTGTGTATGCATGTTTATGTTGTCTCCATGGCAGGTGTGTGTGTGTGTGTGTGTGTGTGTCGTATTGGTGTTTGCGTGTATGCCAGAACCCTGTGCAGCCTTTCTCAGCATTACCCAGGCTCTTCATCAGGAAGTGATGGTGGGGGGTCAGGCCTCATTTAATCAAGAAAAAAATTCCATCTCCCATTAACTTAATTAATCCAACGCCAGAGAAAGAGAAGCAGAAAGGAACCTAGCTGTCTCTGTGTATATATGTGCGTGCCTCTGTATATATGTGAGGAAATAAAAATGTTTCTAAGCTGAATTCACAAAGAGGTGTTTCAAGTAAGTGAAGTTTAAATGGTATTACTTGCATAGGTACAGTTATAAACCTCTGTGTTATACTGTAATATGTGCAGAGGATTTCAACTCTTCAGTGCTTTTGTCAAGAAATTTGTCCTAGAGATCCAGCAGCATCTTTTATATGTTGAAAATATAGTCATCCAGTTCATTTTTTATTAGATTCAACGTTGTAATTTGAAATAAACAAACATTTCAAACGAATTCGGTCTAATTTTAACAGATGACTAGATGTTTTTTTTGTGAGCTGTGCTGTTATCATAGATCTTTTGAAAGGTTGGGTTTTCTCTTCTTCATTTAAAAGGATAGGTTGGATTATTTGAAGTTGGGTTGTAAAAAGGTACTTATCCATAGTCAGTGTATTACCTGCATTAGACAGACGTCAGCATGCCCCCAGTTGGAAGAGTCCCGGCAGGGAAGCAGAGCAGTGTACTTCTGAAAACAAGGTCAGCAGAAAAACATATTTCAGCCATGCACATAAAAAAAACTCCCACCTTAACCTTAACATCAGTTATAGTGTATGCTATATTAAGAGTGTTTTCACCACATTACCTTGCCAGGAGACAACCCTTTCCTTTGGCACTACATTTCTTCATCTCGTTAAGTATCCATCTGCAAAAGTTCTTGTGTATACTCTGGTTCATAAAGGTATCCTCTTGCCTTTGCAGTGAATGGCATTGTGTCGCTCTTATAATCACGCATTTCTATTTTCTTGTATTTGTTTTTGTTTCTTCCATAAACCACTGTAACTCCGGTCTAAACAGCTGATCTGTGTCGTAATACACCGTGCACAGCACAATTGGAAATACACTTTGGAATACATAGGTTGAGACAATGTGGCGCCAAATGGCTGTCTGACAGCAAGGTTAAGTGGTGAAATAAACGTTATTTCGTTAAGTGTCTAATGCTTTCCAGTCTTCTCATTCTCAATTATTAACTGCTGTCATGTCAGACAATATCTGAGTTCCTTTTATCTCCCATCTCTGATTTGCTCTTGATCTTTCCCCTCTTCTTTTTTCCAATTCTCTTTTCTCCTAAGATCCTCTACTATTTTTATCCCTTTTCTCCTACCATCTTGTTATTTGCATAACTGAATTAAAACTGTGTTTCACAGCTCTTAAATAGAAGGAAAACCACATAAATTATAGCAACTGTGTGGATGAGATAGAGGAATATAAAGATAGAAGATAAATTAAAGCTGCAAGCAGCGATGATCTGGCCCTTGCAGTCCACTAGAGTAGGGCATGCTGCGGTCATCTTATGCACCAGCATATAGTGTGTAGACCACGCCATGAAATTTTAAATCAGATCAAAAGCCATACAAGACTTACTTCTTGTTTCCAGCAGGTGGCGCTAAGAGTATGACTGAATATTGGCATTTTGATGTGTTCAGGGGCAGGACTTTTATCAAACCTGAAGTTTGATGCAGATTCGACAAAGTATACTAGAGTTATGACAACTTCCTGTTTCAGGGTGAAATGTCGAAATATAGCGCCACACCATGGACACGCCATTCGATGCACATTTACAAAAAGCACAACTTTTAATGCTGATGCTTTAGACTACACTGGCCAACCAGCGGTTGCTGCTCCGGCCAGAAATAACATTTGCAAAGAAAAAGATATATGTGAACAATACACTGATACCACATATCTTGTCTGATACCACAAATGCATTCATTTTTATTTGCAATCATTTACAATTTTATTTTCAAAATTATATTGTGTTTAATAAAATACACCTTATTTTAAAAGTAGTTAAATTATTAAAAATAAAAATGGTGAAGATTTGGCACGGTAAGATTGCTGTGGTTAAACAACACTCTTCTTGTCATTTCACACCAGCTCATCAACTTCTCACTCCAGGACTTCCCCTTTCTCTCACTGACTTTAATGTCCTGCTGCTGACATACAAATCCCTTCATGCTGCTGAACCCATTTAATTTTCAGAGCTCCTCCTCCTCCTCCTTCTCCTCCTCTGGCCTCCTCTCTGTCCCCAAAACACCCTGCCTCTGGAATGCACTACCCCTATCCATCTGTGTCGCCAACACTATTGATTCTATTGAAGTAATGCTATAAAATGACAAATTGCCGTAGGCTGAAATTGATATGGTAGACAAAAATAACCAAAAATGATAAATGACACAGACGTTTGAATAATTAGACCAATGAGGAAGAAAAGTGCAATATTTAATTCATAGTTGAGCTGTGATAGTGTTCACAGAGCAATAATAAGGTTCCTGCAGAGGGTTGCAGTGATGTGAAAGATGAACTTAGCTTAACCTAGACTACTGCAAGTACTGAGCGTGGTTAATAAACTGTTGTTTCTTTGTCCCACACAGAAAAGCCTGTTTCGGTGGAGCTGAGCTGCGGGGCTGGGCCCAGCCATGTAGTGTTGGAGCCAGGTTTGCCCCTCTTGCTGGACTGCAACCTTGGGGCCAGTGATACACCTTTCAATGTCACCTGGCTTCAGGATGGCCAGCCTCTGCCTCTGGATGGAGGTGACTTCCTGCAGTATTTGGCGAATGGATCCCTCCTCTTGCTGCCCACCTCTAAGGGTGGCCAGCTTCCCCAGGGAGTGGAGGGGGGCTACAGCTGTGTGAGTGCCAGCGCCCTTGGAGCCCTGACCAGCCGGACTGTAAATGTTCTCCTAGCAAGTAGGTGTCCAGTAGATAAATTTGCAATTTCTTTAGGGTTCTAGCAAGCTCATGTTTAACTCCCAAGTATGGCATTTGTTTTGATTCATGAAATATTATGTCCAAATGCAAATCTAAGCTTACATACATAGTTTACTCTGCCTTTCTGTAGCCATTATAGACAATATATATTTTTGCCTAATACATCCTGGGATAGATTTCATGCCCTGATTGTAGAAAGTGCATGGATAGATGGATGGATAGTTTAACAAACATCTCTTATTTACAGAGCTGCACTGTGGAGATAGGAATAATTCAATACATGGAATAGAGCTGCAACGATTAGTACATTAATAGATAACATTAGAAAATGTATCCACAACAATTCTGATAATGTATAATTTTAGTCATTCTTTACACAAAAATGCCCAACGTTTACTGGTTCCAGCTTTACAGATTAGAAGAATATTTGCTTGCTTTTGTTTTCTCCTGTGAAAGTAAATGCATATCTTTGGGTTTTTTAACTCTTGGTCGGGTAAAACAAGGCATCTAGAGACATTACCTTGGGCTGTTGTGATGGACATTTTATTGAAAGTAATTTTGCATTGCATTGCCAAGGTAAAGCTCCAAAAGTAATGCTCATTTGGTTATATAGAAGCACGAATAGGAGGTAGCTAATTTTGAGAAGGCACTTCTATTACCTGAAAAAATGTCAAGTGTTGTCGAAGAGGTAGGTTGCAGCTACACTCATGTATTGGAAAGAATATTGGTTTGATTCATTCATCCATTTAAAGCATTCAGTTGGGTATGCAGGCACACACACACACAC